TTACAAATATTATATTTTTACTATTACAAGATATCCCGGGAGGAATACTGTTTATTAAAGGTGTAAACTTTCTGTTTTCCGTTATATAGTTACAACTAGGCTACACCACATATCTGTCAGATGTATATTCTAGTTGCTTTTTTTTCAATGTGCTTTATCACCAATAATGTCGATCTCTTAGAAAGGCGAAAGCGAGTCCGAAAATCAATTTCAGTGGAGTCTTCGAAGAAATTGGTTCTCTCGTCGATCCATCTAGTTTGCCTAGGTGGAGAAATTTAATTTTAAAAAACGTCGACACCGAATGCAATTACATATAACCTCTCCGCCATGTTTCCTTGGACTCCTTAAGCCGACTTACATCCCCTAAGGGATCGTTCGGCGAGCGCTTATGTACAAAGCTTAATACTAAATGACGCTTATGAACCATGATGAAATGCTATTTTGACCTGAGCTCGCTTATTTCTGCTAAAGCCTCGCTTAACAATCTTAAGCGGACTTGGCGAAACCGGTCCTTATTTCACTATATCAGAGCTTCACTGTATTCGATGATGTCAAAATTAAACACAATTTCTACACAATGATTGATTTTTGTTAACTTAAGAATACATCAAAAGACATTTAGAGCACGAACTGAAAAGTTCAACATCTTGGTTTGACAATGGCGGTATGCTGCAAGCGGCTAATGAAACTGATCGCTTTTCCATGCAGCGCGGTGCCTGTTGTCAGGCCGGAGTTGTGGCAGTCGCGCGCGTTCTGTCGTAGAAAACCACACACTTTGTGCCGCTGTATCTCAAGTACTATCTAGCTTGAAATTGAATCAAGCAGTCGTGCGTTGCCTGCCAGGTTTAGCCCACGTAGAACACGAGCATTATTTCCGCAGTGAAAAAGAGTAAAGTTCATTAATAAGGACGCCCCCCCCTCCACCTCAGAGGTGGCTTTTTCAAATACGATCTTTGGGCGATGACATTTTACCAAGCTCCCTAGTGTTGGAATTTCTGGCTAGAAGGCGATATATCTTTTCCAGGAGGAAATTAATTTCCAGGTCGTTGTATTCTCTATGTTCAATACTGCCGAGGTTCAGAGTTCACTATAACCGAATCTTCTTATGCTTATTTGTAATGTAGGTGAAACGGAACCCGTAACTTAAGTTCATTAAACCGAAATTTCACTATTCCAAGTTCACTATAACTGGCGTCGGCCGTCTGTTTGGAATTGAAGGGTGTTTTCTCAAAATTTATCTACAAAACTTGAATATTTGAGATGCAGTATAAACTCTAAATAACGGACTTCTTTAAAACGAAAAACACTCTACGACGAAAACAATAATCCAGTTTGGTTAGTTTAACTTCCAACACATCTATTTAAATCAATACATTCTCTTCATACAACAAACTCTTTAAAACAAAAGAAAGCGGTCGGTCACTTGAATTTCGCCATAATGAGTTTCACTGTGTGAATGTTATCTAGCAACCGCGCTCTGGAAACTTGTCCATTGACCAGCCCCTTACGTGTGCGGTATTGTTGAGGTTTTGATATTACATGGTACTATACCAAATGTGATAGTACATGATTAACCATCGCTACTACGTTTTTACTTTCATTTTTGTCATCAGTGACTGGCACAAGAAGCACTGGCGCTGCCAGTCGTTATACCCGTTACTTTCGTCGTTCCGTGGCTGGACGAATTCATATTGAGCCTAACTGGCAAAAAAAAAAAAAAAAAAAAAAAACGGAAGATTTTTTTTGCCGCACATTTTACCATGTTTCTTCTACAAGCCACAAGGGTGACTGCACATTCTAGAATTTCTTCCCTTTGAAAATCCTGCTACCCTAATTGCTACCCTAACCCTATGATAAAATCAAATTGTAAACTTTAATTAAAGAAATTGTGATAATGTTAAACTCTTTTTTTCCTAGATGTCACGTTTGTTAAAACTACCTGCGTTAGTTACTTGTTCTACCTCATTAATTTACCAATGGAGGCGATAAGCTCGTCACAATTCTGTTAAAGTGATTCAAAATGGTACAAAGATACGTGCTATACATTAAATTGATTTTTTTTATTGAAAAATATTAAATCCGCAAATTCAGAGAAACTTTTAGTAATCAACTCGGTATACGAATGTGAGGATCACAAGGAATATCTTGAAATTAAAATATGTCTGAAAATCTATTGTGTCACTCGCGTGGCAAAGAATAGTATGTGTAGTACCTCACTGGTCGACATGGAACAAATGCGGGTACCATATTAAAAGAAAATCTTTCAACTAATAAAATCTCAAATTATGTCAAGTTCGTGAAGTACTAAATACGGGGCCTGGAGTTCGAAGCCACTTTTGTTAGTACCTAGGACTACATGAATATTGAACTTTGTCTCAAACTCAATTATATGAATATGCAAACTTTCAAATGTTATTCTCTCATAAGATCATCTTTATCTGGTCTAATAATTATTTATTTTCCCCACATTATCAATTGCTTTTCCTCCCGCAAAGTCCTGAAAATATGCAAAAAAAATATTTGTGAATATTTTTTTTATACGTTCTATTATCTCTTGCCCATTGTTCTCTCTATGAATATGAAAAGAAGATTGTTCGTTTGAAGTATCAAATTAGCTTTTTTCGATTTCATTGGCTCTTCCAATTTAAGTAAGCATTGTATTTCATTGACTCCTGCACCCTTCTTTCGCTCAACCTTTGTGCAGTGCAACTCGCCATGCAATCAATCATTCTATCGACCCAAATATTTGGAACGGAAACAGCGCACAACCAAGAGTTATCGATTCGAATCTCGCAAAATATGTGAGGGTTTTCGTCGAGAGATTGCAGAAATCAAAATCATACCAACAGATATCCTTTTATGTCGTCTTATAGATAATTATTCGTTATTCGAAAAAACAATTACCAGTTCTTTGATACTTGGACATGTCACTAAAGGTCGTTTAGCTAGATTACCCCGAATGTGTGTACATCGCTGTACTTGCCCATCACAAAACCTTGTTTCCAGGAGCTTAATGTGCGAGAGAAAATTGTGCCACTTTGAGAATAGTACGAAAACAGAGCAGTCTGTACACTCTGCACAATTGAAAGGCTGATCGCAATAGTGGTTTAACCCTCTCTGATGTTGAAATTGAGTTAACTACGCAATCCGTTTTCATTATCCATTAACTACGTGGCAGAACCAAAGAATATTGAGTATAGTAAGTATTTGAGTGATTACAGCTCTACTAGTTTCTGATCTCAAAGCAACTGTAACAAATTCTAGGGCAACACTTGTCTAACCCAATTCGATTAATTAGAACTGGCCTATGAAGTCACGTGCACAAATAACCAAATTCACTGAAGTAGATAAGGATGCAGTAAATTTTAGTAAAATTTCATGTTTGAAACTTGCTAAGGATAATTCGTGGAAATATTTCTTTAAACATTCACTGCCAGAACTACAATGTTACAGTTCAGTAATAATGACACTAAGGGCAAAATACGTAAAGAGAAACACACTTTTGATCACGCACAAATTAATCTTCCTGTAAAATACAAATCTCCGAGGTCAATCAAAGCCAATTAACTGAAAGATTTTAAAGAACTTTTAAAATATGTACCAGTCATATATTATGATAGCTTCAACAGTCTCTCTTCCGAAACTGTTCAGGAAGGTCATCACCACGAAGATGTTTTTTTCCTTGACATGCCTTATTATGCATAATTACAACATTGAGGTTATTATTTTTATTTTGTTCTTAACATTTTATTTCCTTTATATTCTAATATGGTCATGACGTCCGTGGCTTGCATCACCCTGACCGGGATTACAATTACAATAATTTTTATAACATTTACTTTCAATAATTTCCTATACACGTCATCTTACTTTTTAATTTATGTAATATTATCTAATGTAATTATGTAATATTAATAGTGTGTGTGGTGTGTAGTGTGTGTATGTTATGTTTTGTTTTTTTTTAAATTAAATAATATATCTTTATTAGTGAACGAATATACATAGTTCAGTATTATTTATACTAAATGTGGATTGGGGGTGGGGCTGAGCATTGATTATTAAGAATGTTGATGTGTTAATTATCATATTGTTTTAAGAAGGCTATAGCTTGTTCTACTTTCTACGGAGTTTTTTAATATTTTAAAGTGGGGTGATTGTTTTTGAATTATGTTCTTAAATTTTTTCCAGTTGATGTTTTGGTGTGTTAAGTGTGGAGAGTTGAGAGTGGAGGGGCGTAATTTGTTGGTTGAGATGATCGTTGGCAGGTGATCGAATCTAGTTCAAAAAAGGAGCTGAGTGAAAAGTGGTTGAATGTTAGAAATGCATAATCTAATATGTCTGGGTGTTTGTTGTAATCTGTGGCGTTAGTGAGTGGTTCTGCTGGGATAATTAACTGAAGTTTGAGGTCCGAATTATTTTGCTCAGTTGGCGTCCTGCAGTGTTTGTATTTCTACATCCCATATAGTGTTTTTAGCATTAAGATCCCCAATCAGAAGAGTGGGCGAATTCATCTGGAAAGCCGCCTGAATATTCGAGTCAGAAATTTTTGATTCGAGGGCTTGTAATGCCGCGTATTGAGGGTTATTAATCTATTGTTTAGAGGGAATTTAATGGCTATAGCTTCGCAGACCTGGATGTGTGGAAGGTTGACTTGATAAATGGTATGGGATTTTTCTATTAGTATTTGTACACCACACTCTCGTTTGCAGTTGAATCTGTCGGTTCTGACTACAACTATAGCCTGATATATTAAATGTAACATCTGATTTTAAATGCGTTTCCGTATGCAAGCTAGAATTTATTTCTTATCATTTGTTATGTCGTATAATTTCTATCATTTGTTATAGGATATTTTATGTAGTATTAATTATGTAATATTATCTATTATGTAATAATATTATTTAAAGTATATAAATAAATGTACATTTCCGTAAATTTTAACAGGAG